GAAAGACACGGACCTGTTGGAACGGGCGCAGAGGAGAGCCACACAAATGATCAGAGGGATGGAACTCCTCTCCTGTGAGGAAAGGCTGAGAGAGTTGGGGTTGTTCAGTCCGGAGAAGAGAAGGCTCCGGGAAGACCTTATTGCAGCCTTATAAGAAAGATGGGGACAGACTTTTTAATAGGGCCTGTAGCGACAGGACAAGGGGTAATGGTTTTAAACTAAAAGAGGGCAGATGCAGGCTAGATACAAGGAAGAAATTTTTTACAATGAGGGTGGTGAAACACTGGCACAGGTTGCCCAGAGAGGTGGTAGATGCCCCATCCCTGGAAACAATCAAGGTCAGGTTGGACGGGGCTCTGAGCAACCTGATCTAGTTGAAGATGTCCCTGCTCATTGCAGGGGGGTTGGACTACATGACTTTAAAGGTCCCTTCCAACCCAACCCATTCTGTGATTCTATAAACTACCACTATTCTTCTGGCCACTGTGTATTTTTCTATGTACTTGAGGAAGTCCTTTACAACTTAAATTTTACTCTAAAAGTTCTGGATTGCTTTAAAATTCTCCTGAGGTATTCTCCAAAATACCCCCTCCAGAGATACTGATATTCAGGTCCTGGACTGAACACCTTGCTTTACTCTTGCTGGTTTACAGCAGAGCAGCAAAGTTTTGTGGAACAAGTGAGACTGAGAGACTGCCCAGAAACATTCTCCTCCAAGTTCTTCCACACCCATGTGGCAGCGCCTCCAGAAAACACTTTTCTACCTGTTCATGATGGTTCTAAACCTCTGTAACAAAACTTCAACAACGTCCTTCCCACTGAAGCTGTGCCATTGGTATTATGGATAGCAATGCAAAGATATTCAAAGAAAACGGTCAGATACACTTGGAAGCTAAAGGTCACAATAAGCAGGAAAAGAAAATACTTTACCATGTACATGAGACTGTTGGAAACTTTTTCCTGGTGCAAAGTGGAAATTTCCAGCTACCTGCAGGAGATAGTAACCTTTCATTAAAAGGTCTGAATCAGTATAAATAAAGCAGTTGTACTGGTGCTTGGATTTTTTAATTTTTGTTTAAACAAGATATACACCAAGTAACTCATTTTCATAGGTGACAATATCAGCAGATGTTGTCCTAAAACAGATAGGAATTTCCCCTCTTCCTCACAGGCAGTCATGTGGAAAGCCATAATTACATACTGATGTTGATAATAACTGTCCTATGCAGATTACTTCAGTGGACATTATTCCTTCTTCTTCCCATTTTTAAGTCTATTGGGAGGGAACCGACTGCTGCTGCAGGAAATACAAAAAGGTATCACAGAAAAGGAGTGGAGAAAGCAACCGAGAGGGAGAGCGAGCAGGGTAAAAAAAAAAAAACCTTAATACAATAAACAACAGTGATCCTATGTATGCGTCCATGAAAATAAGCTGCATGCAAAAACAAAGCACTAAACCTACAAAAAAAAACCAAACACAAACTCCCCAAAAACCCAGAAAGACAAAGATTGTTAAAACGTCATCCTGGAATCTGAAAGGGATATGGGTATTAGGTGCCAATCCTCCCTGACACTTACTAGCAATCGTACACACTCTGCCCTGGAAGATCTGAATGTCCCAAGCTCACGTGCTACATTACACCTTTGATGTCTGTGCAAACCTATTGCTTATGTTAACTGCAGACCTGATGAGAATGGAGATGTGCAGAATTCCAAGTGCATAACAACGGCCCCCAGAAATTTCCCCAGTGACACCCACCCTTGGACCCTTGCTACCTCCAGCATTCCTCTTGGAATCTTTCCTGCTCATCACGCTTTGTGACAGAGGGTCCTGTAACTGTTTGGCACCCATGATGGTGCTCAAATCACAATGTCTGGCTTCGTGAGTAAAAGGTTTACTTTCCAGAAATAAAGAATGTGGTCTCCAGGAAGGGTACACAAAGATGTAAAAAAAAAAAAAAAAAAAAAACCCAAAAACC